GGGGGGGGGGGGGGTCGTACTGTGGGTCTGGACTGAGGTGCACCAGCAAAGGGGGTAGATTGTGGGTCAGAAGTGAGGGGCACTGGCAGAGCCAGGGGCACCAGTATATCAGAGCTGCTCATGCCAAAGCAGCACGAGGGACAGCCATAGCTGGACCCGCATCCTGGTGAGCAAAGGGGGCAGGAGGAGCTCTGATTTTCCACGGTAAAAAAACAAAAACAAACCAAAATCAAATGCCAAAATATATAGGTATTTAGAATTTATTTTACTATAAGGATTGAGGCACTTGGTATGCTTCCAAATTGCTTTAAAATTGTAAACATATCAATAAAACATTGTATTCAACTGACACCTATATACATAGTGGCATTTCATTTTAATCACAGAAAAACATGGATTTGGGGTTTTCAAATCAGAGAATTTTGGATTTTTTTAAACAGAGAAAACCAGGATCTCTGACCATCAGGAATCAGCGTGGTTGCTGTCCAGTCTTGAGTCAGGTTCCCAGATGGTTAGCATCTTCCTTAGTATTAATCAAGAATACATCTGCCCCCAGCTTCCTACATTCCTGAAAAACTCAAACACCAAATAGATTTTCAGTGGATAAAAACTGCTCCTCCTTGCTTCAGTACAAGTTCAGCCACCTCCTTTGGTCTCATCAACCTGTGGGGGGATGGCAGCTCTCCTCATACTCTTTGCTGCAGCAGTTTTTATTAGAAAATTTCATATTTTTTTCACTCAGGTGCACAATAATTATTTAATATAATCAAAATAGCATCAACTGTTCTGAGAGCAATGTTTCCCCTCACAAAACCCAATTACAAACATTTGAGAGAGACAGTTGCTCACTTCTGAATACACAATACTCTTCCTAGGAATCAGACAGTGGCTCTTATTACCTGTCCCCTTGATTCTGAAAATCAGGTAAAAAGCAAAACACACACTCACACCCAGGCCATCAGAGACACTACAGGCAGTCCTCAGACTTATGACAATTGGTTCCTGAAAACTGTGTCTTAAGTCGAAATGTTGCAACTCAGAACCAATATTCTCATAAGAAACAATGTTATAAATGGGGGATTGGTTCCTGAACCAAGGCCCGATACCCTATTTTCACCAAAAATACCCCAAAAATTTGTACTCCATCAATTATAGATGAGTAATATAGCTACATTAATGTATTTATATTGTAAATAACAATCATATTGATTTGGAAGGACTTCTTTGAGGTGACTTTGCTGGACTTTCTGAAGGGCTCTTGGCTGGAGTCTTCTCAGGAGTTTTGGCTGCAAGTTTTTCTGGAGTCGTGTCTGCTTTCCTAAAGAAAGTGTCCAAGGAAGTTTGGACAGAAGTTTTCCAGGGAGATGGGCAACACAGCAAACTTGTTCACTAGAATGGCATCACATCGGATCAAACATTGCAAGTCGAAACTGACGTCATAATATTGAAACAGGGTGTCAATTTATAAATGCTTTAAGTGCAAAACATTGTAACTTGAAACGTTGCAAGTCGAGGACTGCCTGCATATGCATTTGAACGGCACCACGCATCCTTCAACAGACCCCTATTCCTCATTTTGCTGCAAACAACACTGCTTCAACTCTGATAGAACAGGATCCAAATTTACCATCTAGCCCTCTTAGAGATACCTACAAATTGCAATTTTGAGAGTTAAGTCCTGTTCTCTGAAGAAAAAGCTGCCCATCACTATCCAGCCACACCACCACACAGGTTTTCTCCAGTTGAACAAACCTCTGCTTCCCCCACACTTTTGCAGTATTATGGAACTCACCTAAACCTCCCAAATCTGTTTCTGATGCTCCAAAGATCAAGATGACTTTTCATGCCTCTTTGGCAGGCTACCTTTCTTCCCTTAAAAATGAACAATAAAAGGCTCATGGTGATGCTGATGTTTGCATTATCTGAGAATACATGTAATCTAAGATTCCAGAGGGCCAGCATCCTTTTCTTCATTATCAGCTTCTGGTGACCATCTGTATAATTTAATTAAGACTATCAGCTATATTATAAGCAGACAAGGTTCTTTGGGTGAATCTGATATCTTTTATTAAACCAACTTAAATAGTTGGGGAAAAAAATTTTAAGCTTTCGAATTCAAAAACCCTTCGTCAGGCTGAGAGTTTCAGCAGTTGGTGTGTGCTCTTCCTGGATGGAATGAAAAGTAAAGAAGCCAGAGGCTGGGCTGGTATGCATACAAGATAGGCAGTCAGTGAAGATGTAGACTGAGGAGTCAATGGGCAAGAGACAGGCTGTGTGGCGGGGAGAGAAGGGGGATGAATAGTGGAGAGATACCTGGGAAGTCAGATGTCAGGCAGGTTATAATGTGTCATAAATCCAATGTCTATATTTAGTCCATGATTTTTAGTATCCAGGAGGGTGATGAAGTGGAGCTCATAGGCTTGTTTCAGCAAAGTGTTTTGTAAGTCTTCTTTGAGGATCAGAACTGAGAGGTTGGAGAGAGAGCGGTTTTCTTGTGAGAAATGTGCCCCCACAGGTAATTGGGTATTCCTGTCTTTGACAGATTTCCGGTGTGCATTCATTCTGGTGTGCAGTTGTTGTTTGGTCTCTCCTAGTATTTTCCATCAGGGCCTACACAACCTACACCCCTGTAACTATGTTATAATTCATCCCAAGAACCCGTTCAGCAGTACAAGAGATTCTGCACTAGAAGGCAAAGACCTTCACTAACCTCATAATGCAGTAATCTGCAGAACCAGCTATCAAAATGAGCCACTGCCGCTTCAGAATCTCACTCTTTTTCATGAAGTTCTCCATTCTACACAGCACTGCAACTAACATTCCAGAAGTGTTATATCCTTTACCTTCCCCCTTGCCATCAAATCAGTGGGTCATCTCAGAACATAATAGCTGCTTTGGTCTAAACTCCAAACCAGATGCTCCTTCTGAATGTGTGTGAACTTTCAGGTCTGCCTCTAGCATCTTATTCTTTCTGCAAAAAGCCCTCTATTACATGAATCCAAGAACTATCCCCCTACATAAGTCTCAATATCTTTATTCACTCTTCAAAAGATTGGGGGAGAACTATTTCAGAAAGGGTGACTTGTACCTGGGTACAAAAGTGTCATCCTGTTGTATCCATGCAAAATTAAGATGGCCAGTTCATACACAGTAAACATCAGGACTGCTTGGCCCTCCTAATCAGTACCATTAACTCTGCCAGTCTTCTCTGCAAGAACTCCAGTAATACCAGCTTGTCTCCATTTGATAACAAAATAGGTGAGAATGGGGACAGATGGACAGACACTTCTTTCCCTCTGCTCCTCCCACTTCCATTGTTCCAGCCAGTGCTTGAAATGAGCCCTACATGCAGTCATACACTTCATGATCTGTCTTGCCCACAAACAGAAAATCATCTAGGTTGTTTACACTACATTTTGCACACCCAGCTCCTGTACTTCAATCTGTATCACCAGTGCGCTAAACTTGTTAAATGTTCAGCAGGATATTTACCATCCCCTTAAAATGACCATATCAAAATAAGCTTGAATTTCAAAATAAAACTCCAGAACGCTAGAATCCCAAGGGTATATTGGGAGTACTAGAAAAGCCAGTCAGAGTTCACGTTTCATTTGAATTGCTCCAGGATTGCAAAGCCTCACCATATTTGCAAGAGCATTCAATTAGTAAACTATAGACATAATTCCAGGAGCACTAATTTGCTGAACTTCCTTGTGGAAGTGACAGGTGGTGGGGATTAAGCAATACCCCCCACGCACCTTCCTAGGAGAAACTTACAGGTTGGATGTAAATGGACATAACTAGTTCTGCAATTCTATTAATTATTTCTTACAAAGACTCTCTACAAGGAAGCCCTCTGTGGACTTACATTTCTGACACATGTGAATTCTAACTTCTTTAGAATTTCCCAACATTAACTCCTCCCATAAAAGGCCCATTTGATCAAGAAAACCCCAAAGGATGATCTTGAGTTTAATGGGATAAAACTCTTTCCCACATTCCCACAGCCTAGATTTTTCTCTGGATATGAAGAGCATATGGTTGACTCCTCCTTTTACTGGACTGGTTACCTTGGTCCTTTCCAAACCCATGAGGAAGACATGCCAACACAAGGAATAGAAAGAGAAAAGCCACCCTTAAAGAAGCCTGTCAGCTGTTGGCCTCTCTCTCCAGCTCAGGAAGGACTGACACTATGTTCAAAATCTGGTTCCAAACCATTTCTCAGGGCTTCAGCTTTATTGCTACCTGGGGTTATTGCAGGGCCCTTGGCACGGCTTTACGAGCGCTCGTGGTGCTCGGGCTAGGTGCCAGATGATTGTAAGATAGCTAACGTGGTCCCCATCTTCAAAAAAGGGAAGAGAGAGGACCCAGGCAACTATAGGCCCGTCAGTCTTACCTCAATCCTAGGGAAACTCTTTGAGAAGATCCTCAAGGAGCACATCTGTGATGGGCTGGCTTCAGGGATGATGCTCAAGGGCAACCAGCACAGTTTCATTAGGGGCAAGTCACGTCAGACCAACCTGATTGCCTTTTATGATCAGGTCACAAAGGCAATGGATGCAGGTGTCGCTGTGGACATAGTCTTTCTAGACCTCAGCAAGGCCTTTGACACCGTCTCCCACCCCATCCTCATTAAAAAACTAGGTGACTGTGTCGTTGATGCCTGCACAGTCAGATGGATAGCGGATTGGCTGAAGGGTCATACTCAGAGGGTAGTGGTGGAGGACGGGTCATATTCAACCTGGGGGGAAGTGGGCAGCAAAGTCTCCCAGGGCTCAGTCCTTGGGCCTGCGCTGTTCAATTTCTTCATCAGCGATTTGGACGACGGGGTGAAAAGCAACCTGTTTAAATAATTCGCTGATGATACCAAAATTTGGGGTGAGGTGAGCACGCTAGTAGGGAGGGAGAGATTGCAGCAAGATCTGGATAGGTTACAGGAGCGGGCTAACATAAACAGGATGCGTTTCAATACTGACAAGTGCAGGGTGCTGCACTTGGGCAGTAGTAACCAGCAGCACACTTATAAGATGGGAAACTCCCTTCTTGAGAGCATGGAGGCAGAAAGGGAACTTGGAGTCATTATTGACTCCAAGATGAACATGGGCCAACAATGCGAGGTCATGTTTGGCAGGGCTAACCGGACCTTGTCATGCATCCACAGGTGCATCTCAAGTAGGGCCAAGGAGGTGATCCTCCCCCTTTA